ATTTTGTCCATTTAACAGTCTCTGATAACTGACACCTCTTGCTCTGAATTATTGCATCAAAATGTCTGTGCTGTTGCAATCCTGAGTAGGCTGTTCAGGGGTGTATCTGTAAGCTGCAAACCTACGATGATGCAGCAGCAGAACTGGAAGAAGAAGCAGAAGACAGCCAGCTCCATTGCGGGCCTGATAGAAGCCCTCTGGGGGCCTCATCCGCCCCCCGGGCCACATGTTTGACACCTCTGCTGTACCGGTATTGGGATCTGGGATTTTTTTGGAAATCCCAGATTTTTTTCCAGGTCCAGTAGACCTGAACTGAAAAATACCGGTTAAAAAAAATTCCACACTCCAAGAGTAGAGAGAGTTGAGTTAATTTTGTTTGTGACACAGAATTTTTGTGCCAAAAATTGATAAGTAAATTCTTAATGGAATATATACACTGGAAAAACTGGGACCTGGATTTTTTTTTCCAATTTGTGCAGCTGGTTCTTTATAATATGTATTTTTGAAAGGATCCTTCTCTTTTTGCTGTTCATTAACGTTACTTTCTTTAGAATTTAGGGCACTGTCTGGAGAGCAGATTGAGTTACTTTCATTGTTTACTATCACAAGTTTTAACAAAGAACTTTTCAGTTTTTTAAAACTTTCCTCCAAGATCTTCTTCCATTATATCCTTCCAAACTGATACATTCTCTTATAGCTCGCAGCATTTTGAAACTACAAGGATAAATATTAATATTATAATCTCTGAAATTCTTTATTAAAATACAAAAAACACAGTATTTAAACATCTAATTGTTTATATTATATTATTAATTGCAATGATTCAAATCATAAGTTAGAGCTCAACTCAACATCTGGATATTACAGCATAATGGAATTTCCATCAGTAATACACTTTTGCATTTTCTCTGAATTATTTGGTGCACATGTATACAGATAATAATTTTATGGAACTACTAATAATCAGTTCTGAAATAAGGTGAGTATATTTGAGATGCAACAATCCCCCCCCCCCAAATGCTCTAATGAGCTAATGAACCTCCTCCCCACTCTAAAGAGATGCATAATGCAAAACAAGGGATCTCCCAAGAAAACATTAGCTAACCTTGGATTAACATCATCCACATCTGGGAGCTAGGCTTACCGAAGATCTCAACACTGATCTGGAAAACTATAATCAATTATAAATATAGACTGTTAACAGCTGACAATCTTCTGATCTTTACCACCTTATCAGCACAGGAATGTTACTGGCAGAAGTGGAAAGATGCAGTAGATACTAAACGAAAGCAACCGGGCTTAAACAAAACTGGGAAATTAACACCAAAAAATAGAGTGATGCTCATTAGGAAACTTACAGATCAAGATTGGAATTCACTTTTCAAAGATACTGAGCAGAAATGTTCATCATCATACTTAGGGATTAAATACTCAACAAAATTTGAACTACTACTCTATTTGTATGTGCTGACCATCCCTAAATTAAGAAGAGCATATATGGTGGCCTGTTATAATGCGTTTCCTTCTGCGCAGATGAAGGGCC